CCGTGAACAGAAACCTGACAGGTCAAGTCCGGGCCTGCTGGTCATAACGGCCAAGGTCAAGTGAAACAGTTGTCTGCGCTCATCTGGAAGTGGAGCCTCTGGGCGGTAAACACTGTGGTCAGCTCACGGTCGGTATGGGCAGCTCTCCCACGCCACATCATTGTCAACACAAGACAGCATACACTGGTCCCGAGATGCACATTACTGTCTGACAGAATTAAGTGTAGTTCAATTGAAATGCAAAAGTTAACTTCATATGAAAACTATGAGAATGGTTGTAACTGGACCAACATTTTTTTTATTTGACCCTTTTTTTTCCCTCTACACAATATTTGAGGGAAATATTTCCCTTCATACTAGTCCAGTATATGATGTATTATCTTCCTGTTATAAATGCTTTGCAATAATATGCAAACCATGGAACTTATATGGCTGCTCTGACAACAATGCGTTTTTTTATTTCAGCTTGCTTTTCTATTATCTGTTGTATAAATAAATGAAAGGAGACCATAACATAGACTCAAGCCATTTGCCATGCTGGTCAATAAAAGTGGAGATTTTGTTGGGCTAAAATCATTGAAGGTTAGGAGTTTTCCAGCTCATCAGGCTCCAGCTGAGTTAATGAACCCTCATGGCCCTGCCCCCGCGCTCTGGTCTGAGCATTACTCACAGGCTAAGCAGAGGAAAAAGAAGCTGCCAGTGTTGCTACGCCTCAGAAAGCCACTGCGCGCACACGGATCATGACTGTGGAACTTATGGGGTCGCAGAGGTCTACGCAACATCTGCTGATCCCGTGTGATATCTCAGGAGAGTTCAATCAGGCCTCGCTGTGACATGGATAAACAAACACAAACGTGCTGGGACATAATTGAATTACTTCCATCCAGTAGGAACATTGCAGATGAAGGGTGGATGCCCCTGGACATGTTTGTGTGTATGTTTGAGCTGTAAAGTCAACGGATGTCATCTCGCAGAGGATGCTCTAACCCAGATTCAACAAACTCTTGTTTGGTTTTCCACAAGTGTACAACAGGCCCAACATGAAGAAATATAATTTCGATGTAGTAATCATTTCTTCCTTTCTTTTTTAAATGATTCACATTGAATTTGACTAATTCTATACAAATATGTATTCCAGCAGACAGAAAAAAAAGTACTAATTTTAATACACAGAGTATTTCAGCCCCCTTCCAACAATATATTTAAAATGTAAAACGATAGTGGGAATTTCAATAAAAAAGGAAACAAACGACTCATACACATCAAAATAATAGTGATGCAGTTCCTTCACATAAAGTTGGGCAGTTGGGGGTCAGTGGAGGTTGACAGGCTTTTGGAGCCAGCCTCAAGTATCCATTTAAGGAACTGCAGTTTTGGCACCTCTGTGTCTGCTTCATTTTTCATCATTGGAGGTTGCCTTTTGGTCGGACCTTAACAAAATGATTAACATAATGTAGTCTTACAGGGCCCAAATTGAGTTCCCCTTGAGCTTATGTAAGTCCATTGGCAAAGAGTTCAGCTCACCAATGGACTTGTGAATCTGGGAGATTAATTTCTGTACCAAACTTGCAATAACAGATTTATTGGGCACTTACTAACTTGCGATGCACAGAACAAGTGAAGTAATCTGTGGAGCGGCCGTAATTGATAGTTCTGTGGTATAAAGAGCGAGAAAGTCCACAAAGGCCGGACAGGACTTTCACCCAGGAGACTGCTGTTTGTGTCCTGTGTGAAACCAAATAAACTTTGAGTTTACGCTCATTTAATTAACTTTTTTGTAAAACTTAATGTTACGTAAGAAAGTCTGCTATGGGTGGTTGTCATTTGTTTACGCTGGTTATGTTGTTACGCATGTTACGTTTCGTTGTCACGTTATTATTTTAACACAAGATATCTTTTCTATCCGTAAGTAGTTTTGTTGCCTAAACTTCCAATCGTTACACAACGTTAACCCTGAAGCATTGTGCCCTTCTGCAAGGGTGATACGAGGCTGACATGAAACGTATTTATGAAACATATATTTTTATGTTTGGAAACGTCGGCATGTCACGTGTCCCGTGTTTTGCGGAAACGTTCAATGCAAACAGGTTTTTATTGCTGGCGACTGGGTTGCCGAAACAATGAGCTGAAAGATGCTAAAATGCTCAATAAAGCTGAGGAGAACTTCAGAGTCGGGTGATAATTCTGATCATTACGACCCGTTTCACCTTAAACCTAGTCATTTGAACCATTCTATATTTAAAAAATATTTGTTACAGCAGCTGTAAAATATAGTTAAGTCTCAATAGGGTGTTTGGGGGCTTATAAAGGTGTATAGTACATAACAATATACCACCTTACACACTACTACAGCAAACACTAATAAAACAGTCAAAGATACGCTTCAGAATATGGAAGATGATAAGTTACTGGCGCCTACAAAGGACAACACACGCTGCACTCACCATGTTCATCATAGTGCACTACATGGATGATCTAAAACATCCACCGAAAATATGACATGTATTATTTAACCTATTATTAATTCATGGTAAATTCCACGTATGCCTTGGGAGAGCACCAAAAAAACTGCATGGAGAGACTGAAGCATGAACCCGAGGAGATACAGTAGCAACTGAAACGCTCACAGCTTGGCAACAGTGAGCATTTCCAGTTATGCAGTGTTGATTTACTTGGCCTAGATACAACAATATGGATTATTCTTATCCTTGCTCCTCTGAATGATGCGATGCATCACGGGGCAAAAGGGTTTCCAAGTTCACTGGTGTACGTAAAGTGGGTAGCAGCAGAATCCAATGTTACGGTGCTGTCATGCTGACATACTTCCATAAAACTGCCACCAGGTCTGTGATTCAATTATGCTCCGGTCTTTAGTTTTCATTTATCACTGAATCAAATAAAGGAAGGGGATTTACAGGTTTCATGGAGATTCCTTACAGAAGTCTTGCTTCGGTGCTTCTATTAGAGCAGAGGAACATTTTAGAAAAATCATTTTTAATTCATCACTGAAGCAAATGAGCTCTGGATTGATTAGAAGTCAATACTTGACTGCAGATCCCCCAAAAAAACCCAACTTACATGAGATGTGGACTTAAAAGCTACTGGCCATTCACACAATACTAAAATGCTTGAAAAATCTCAGCTTGCAGTCCGTGGGAGTAGCTAAGCAACCATGCAGGAAAAGAAGCACCTTTGGAAATCTGTCTATACTTCTTTGCCAGCTGCAGATTACAACTGGATTTGGTTTTAAACTTCCAGCAGGGCGTTGGAAGAGCTCCCTGACTGAGATGTGGAATGAGTTGCCTCACAGTATGCTGTGTCTGAAAACATTAGCTTCCACACAGACTGATTTGTGGGAGGAAAAATAAGCCTTATTCTCTTTTCGGTGATCTGGTTCATCCCACGATTGCTTGATTGTGTTACTGTCCAGTTGAATCGTAAATTCCATTAACTGGCATTTAAGAAAAAGATATCAAGACAGCAACGTAAGCCAGAGAGAGGAAATCAAACTGTCAAACTAAATCTTTCATTAACGCTATAAATTGAGTGTCAGTTTGACATTTGTCTGTGGTTGTTAATTATTCAAAACTCTAATGATTCTAAACTTAAATAGGAGATTTGTGTTTTACAATCTATGCTTTATTATACAGAATCAAAAAAAACTCTGAGTCTGTGAACAATGCTGTGTGTGATATTGATCCCATTCATCATGGTACTAACCTCCCAGCTTTTTCCTTGTTGTTATAACTATTTGCATAGAATGTGTAGACTACTACAGCGTCCCTAAAGAAACAGGTTTTGAATGTGATCAGTCACCCGACAGTAGTTATGGCATTACTGGCAGAAGTAACCCTTAACCTTCCAGTGAGAACTCACACAGCGGTATAATCAGCTGCTTGAGCTGGATTCCTATCAACATGACAGCACATAGACTGTTCCTATGTTATTTAGTGCTGACTAATAGAGGACAATAAGAGCATCAGCGTAAAACACCTTTGCTATAACTTACGTCCTAGAGCACTAGGAATAGTTTAAAACTGTATGTTTTTTGGCCACTTAGGACATGAAAAGCTCCAAAACAAGCTAACAGACACACTATTGTGTTATTAAGCTGTTGTGGCAAACCTGTTAGCAAACAATTACTTATTATCTCATCTTAGTACAATATTCACTCTCCTTTTACCTCTCTTTTGGGTCTAAACTCCTCAGAAAAATATCAGTCTTGAGCTGGCTTGATTGACTTTTTTTCATAAGCAAGTTGCTAACTTCTGTCTGCTGTGGTTCGGTAACATATTTCCATGCCTTTAAAGATGATCCTGATATTTCTTCTTACTGAAAAGGGTCACAAAGTATTGTTATTATCCTCATTTAATGCAATAGACATCGACAGGAAATACCGTTTCGACTCTGTTCGTCGTTTAAAAACCCTTTGGGCAGGTAATCATACACTGTTTGTTGGAATGCAACTCATAAAGCACCTCTTTTTAATCCTCAATTTAGTTCCTAATGTATAGTTCATATCAGCAAAAGGCAGACTTTATAAGGCAAAAAGTATGTGGACATCCCTGGCTACATACTTTTTAAAATACAAAAATTATATCAAATTGAAAGAGGTTATACTAATCATACACACATTGCATCCTAACGGGTAAATCTGGTCATGCACCTTGAAGCAAGTGGAGTCAATATGAGGCCACAAAGGGCCCTCACAAAGAGAGTAAAATGAGCACTGTGTGGATTGAAAAGGATTGAAAGTCCCCACCCAGTCTCACAACATTCATAAATAAGCTACACAAACCTGAGATGATCTTCATTCAGTACAGAATGAAACCAGTCCCAAACCAGCAGCGTACCTATTTATAGATTGGTATAGGTGCAGCTCGTGTGCTATCGTAAATCAGAGCAATGAAAAGGCCTGAGTCTGAAATGCATCATGCTCTGGTGCGCTGCTGCCGTGCACGCCCATTAAAACAAACGTTACAGTCGGAACAAGGAAGTTATGCACCTGTGCTGCCTCTTTATCGAGACCTGCTGATCCGCTCAACACCTTCCGCGACGCCGATAACCAGCGGTAAGTAAGTCATATTTATTACCAGCACTTTGAAATTTGAACTCAAGGGATGAAATTTGAACTCAAGGGATGTAGGGGTAAATATGTGTCGGGACTGTGTATGCAAGTTTCGATACTGGGGAAGCTGTGCACCCAGAGTGACTACTAGAGGCAAAGATCTAAAAGTCGTAAAAGCCTCACTGCAGCGGAGTCGACATGTATGTGACAGTCTTTAACTTGATAGCCTAAATAGTTCTACACAAGTGTTGTTAATGTTGAGAGAGGTGTTGTTGAAGCTCTATCATGGCAGAAGCTGAAGAGGAGAGAGCGCCGCCAAGCGATGAGGAGCAGCAGCAGCAGCAGCTCAGCTCTTTCGCCGGCGGCCCGGCGGACACTCAGCCGACTGCCCCCACAGAGGGCACGGAGGAGCGGGCAGCGGAGGTCGCAGCGGCCCGCCCCCAGCGCAGTGACATCTCCGTGGAGCCATCTCTGGACCAGTTTAAGATCAGGAAGTTCTTCGTGTTGAGGGTAAAGACTTCCGCTTTTCCACTTGACAACAGGGAACTTTGTGCTGCCTATATGTTGATGAAACAATATATTTTTTTATACAGTTGTAGAAATCTCACTTCACGTTGCAACTGATATTTTATTTAATATTCATGAAAATTGTCTGGCAAGTGTTAACCTATTTAATACATTTAAGTTGTACCTAACTTTCTGTTCTTTTTATTTGAATTTGACAATGTTACTTGTACTTAGGTTATACTTTGTTACTCTAGCTTTATACTTCTTCTACAGTGTAGTTAACGCTCTAGTTATTAGTATATTTAATTTATTTTGCATTTATTTGCCATGTACAGCATCAAATATACATGTTAGCTTAGCAATTGATTGCACCAGAGTTAGCTCAATGCTAATTATCCTCTGCAGTCCCTGCACAAGTCCCTTAACTACTTTGCTGGTGGAGATATTTCGCTGAAGACATTTAGTTATGAAACACTGTATTTAAGATGTTAAAAAGCTCCACCTCCACCAGCAACTACATTCAAATCATGCTTACGTGATAACAGACAACAATATTACTGGGCTGTTCAGCATAATATTTACTTAAGGTTTTAATACTTTACGAGTATTTCAACAGTGTTATTGCTACTTTTACCACACTGTATAAAATACTGAGTAATTAATTTTGATACAATAACTGCAATCAAATCATCTTTGGAGACTAAAAGACTTTTTCAGTCTTTTGACCAGAATGAATCCGTTTTGCGGCTCCATTCAGCTTGACAGATATCAAACTTAGCCAATGAACAATTGCAGATACATAGCACATTTTGCAACGTCCATCTCAGATCACGGTTTCACTCACTATAACCACTACTTTGTCATTATAACACATTATACAAGCGTACCCTCTGACATTTACACTTATACAAGTCTGCTATTGTTGACAGCCATTTTTAGCATACACACAAACTTATGAAACGTAGAGTTCAAGGAACCAAGTTAACTAAGAACTCAGCGTTTGCTTTTTCTTGGCCAAAGTTAACTGAGGCAACTTGTACTGTATTACTTACTGTATTATTTACATAGAAAATAAGTGGATTCACATATACTAAACATCGTGGCAAAATATTAACAATAGCATGGCTGTCATTGAGCATTTTTGCTAGCTAACCAGTGCTCAGGAAATAAACAGCACAGAGTATATGAAACCTAGTGTATATGAAACTGGTGATTTACTGCTGGTTTTTAATATAATGCAACATAATGCTCTTAGGGACACTTACTATATTTTTGGCGAATAGCGCAAGTTTATTACAATGTTTTTGTTGTTGTTACATTATTAGCATATGTTTTTATTGTATTATATATTCAAATTTCAACGGAGAATGCAAAATATTATATATATGTTCATTGCAGGCCTGCGTTGGGTTGCTATAAGAAGTCTTCACACGTTGCCAGGTCGGCTCAGCACCGGGTTCAGATTTCAGTAAGACTGCCAGGAGCCCTCAATATGAACTCCTAATCTTTTTAACTTGCCATTGAAATAATAAAACGTGGAAGGATAGAATTGCATGTTATGGAAATGAGTGTGGATTGCATTGAAAAACAGAAATTTGGATGTGTCGTGTATTATGTCCAGAAGCTTTCTCTTGTCTTCAAATACCTGAGTTACTCAGATTTTTACACACGGAAGATGCATGCTCAGCTTTCTTCATTATCATTCATTTTCATATGCGGAGGCTTCATGTTTTTTTGTTTATTGTCATTTTGTTTGACACACAGACGCGCTGACATTTTGTTGGAGTACCAGTCCCAGCTGTGCGTCTGCCTCAAAGATCACCCCTTAAGCTTTCTGTCACACATTGTGATTGTCACAATGGAAAATTAAAAAGTGACACCCATGCATTTCTGTCTCCTCAGCCTGGCACTCTGAAACAGGCTATCAAAGACATTGAAGCTCTGGTGGATGAAGGAGTAGATGGCAGCGTTCACAGCATTTGGCTGATGGCAGAGTGAGTTTTTGGTATTTTTGCTCTGTAAAAAATCATACACAATCGATCAAATTTATGGACAATTCATTTTATCAAGATCAACTAGTTGTTTCAGATCCCAATGTTATACTTAAATAGCTTGAACTAATTCTATTAAGAAACACTGATCTGCTGATTAGATTATGTGTCATTACCCCCTTAGGGGCCGTGTCCACTAAAGCGTTTTTTTCCCCAGCTGAAAATGCCAGGCTCTCTAATGAAAACCCACAGCTTTGTTCAGATTCAGATCAACTTTATTATCCCGCATGGGGATACAACTTGGGGCGGAGAACTGCAGACCAGGGCTGAGGACATTGTCAAGCCGTGGAATGAACACTTTGTAGAACCCCTGAAACCAACGAACACATCCTCTATGGAAGAGGCAGAGTTTGAAGACTCGAACCAACGAACACATCCTCTATGGAAGAGGCAGAGTTTGAAGACTCGGGAGAAGACTCATCCATATCCCTGGCAGAGGTCGGTGGTGTGGTCAAAAAGCTCCTTGGCGGCAGGGCGATCGGCCCTGAGATGCTGAATGCTGTGGACGTTGTTGGGCTGTCTTGGCTGACACGCCACTTCAGTGTCACCTGGAGGTTCGAAGACAGTGCCTGAGGAGTGGCAGACCGGGATGGTGGTTCCCATTTTTAAAAAGGGGGACTGTAGAGAATTATGGCTGTTTCTACGAGCCATCCGGTCCTTGTATAACCAAAGTGAGAGCTGTGTCGGTATGCTCTTCACAAAGTCAAACACATTTCCAGTGGATGTTGGCCTCTGCCAGAGTTATCACCGATTCTGTTTCATAGACAGGATCTTAAGGTGCAATCGGGGGGGAGGTGAGTGTCCGGTTCAGGGACCTCAGAATTGCGTTTCTTGTCTTTGCAGATGATGTGGGTCTGTCGGCTCCATCAAACCGTGACCTTCAGGAAGCACTGGGGCGGTTTGCAGCTGTGTGTGAAGCGGTTGGATTGAGAGTTAGTACCTCCAAGTCTGAGGCCATGGTTCTCTGCCAGAAAATGGTGGATTGCGCCCTCAGTGTTGGGAGTGAATCAATGCCCCAAGCGAGGGAGTTCAAGTGTCTCAGGGTCTTGTTCACGAGTGAGGGTAAAATGGAGCTTGAGATGGACAGGTGGTTCGATGTAGCGTCCGCAGGAATGCGGGTGTTGTACCGGACCGTACAACGGGAGGGAGCTGAGCTCTGAATTTACCATTCCATCTATATCCCCTCACCTGTAGTCACCAGCTTTAGGTAGTGAGCGAAAGAATGAGATTGAGGTTACAAGCGGCCAAAATGAGTTTCCTTTGTAGGGTAGCTGGGCTCAGACGTCCGCAGATAATCTGAGGCCCATAGAGAGAGAGTCTATATTCTACACATGATATACTACAGTCCATATTGGCTCCGCATGATCAAATAGAGAGATCTGTATTAATTAAGCCTAATACCACAGTTGAATGTGGCTTGTCATTGGCTTGTGTGATACAAGCCAATGCAGAGGCAGTGAACTAACTGCCTCCAACACGGAGCAAAATGACACGACTGCAAGACATTTACCAAGTGCACTTGCGAGACGTCGGGTTGTATCACTCCCCGCACAAGCTTTCAGGAAACATTTTAAAGGCCGGCCGTGTTAGAATTAATAATGCATCCCATTTATGCAGCTCTGTCCAACACACGTTAACGCTCGTCCTACATTTGGCCCCGCAGTTACCGCCAACGCAGGCGCCGCTGTAGGAAGTCTGGCGACATAGAGAGTGCATTATATGGCAATTCTGTGACGCTGCTGCAGAATTTCCCCAGAGGGAGTACGGTGACTTATGTCATAAGAGCATGAGAAAATTCCTAAAATCTGGCCTGGCTGAGGATTGTCACTAGCTTTAGAAAGAGCAAGATGATCTCAATGCATCTGCTTTTATTGCTTAGACTGTTTCTTTTTCGTTTTTGTCATGTGTTCTCCATTTGATTATTTAGTTCCCATTTGTTTATGCCTTCTCTGATCATAAAATACTTAATTTTTGACTTACACATAGAGGAGGTGGTTGTATGTGTGTACCTACAGTAGATCTGCTCGCTGGCTACCTCAGTCCAGCACATCCCCGTGTGTTGTTCTGTCAGGCCAAGTGCCAGCAGCTTGTCAGACCACCCACGGTCTGATGGTGCATCTCTGTAACACCTCTGTACCGTCCGCGATGCCGTGCCCAGTCAAGTTTGGGCTAACTCATTTCATTAGCACAGTCGTATCTCTTCACCCACACCTTTCCCATGATGCCGCAGCTGTTCAGTGAACTTGTCTCTTTTTTTTTTGTGGCCTGCGGCTGCCAGCAGCAATCGGGTGTTTCATTGGGAGTGGGCCACACGAGCGCGGCTCAGCGGGCCGTAGAAAGAGAATCCATGGCACCATGAATTAGTTGTGTGTGCAGCAGTGAGGGAGAGTGTGTGTGTGTGTGTGTGTGTGTGTGCCTGTGATATTATGCTTTTTGTGATTCGAATTAATAACGCAGACATTTTTTAACACACTTTGAGGCCGAAATAGAAAGCAGACTCTAGTTTGTTTGCTTTGAAGGTGTTTCTCTTCATTCGATTTTGCTTTCCTTTTTCTTTTTTTGGTGGTAAAAACTTAGCAACTTAGAAATGCTTGCATGCATATTGTATGATCTTTGCCAACGGCGGTTTTGGAAATTGTGAAGCTTTTACAGTACATAATTAAGCAGCTTTGTTATACATATTTTTGTGTTGACTTCAAATAACCTCCTGCACAATACTAACATCAAGAGGTGAATATTTGACTATTTATGGTTCGATCTAAAGAGCCTGTTGCAGTGGCGGGAAAATGTGGTCATGAAACAAATAGTTCCATTCTGCATACATGGGGGCGCTGAATGGCTGTGAAGTTTAGCCTATTTTGGTATAAATATTAGCTTATTAATAATACTGTTTAAAAAAAAAAAGATTAAATGTTATTTGAAAACAACAGTTTGCATTCAAGCAATCTTGGTGTGCATGGCTAAATCACCATGCAGACTAAGTTGCTCTATCCAAAGACCATCGGAGCAACATCTTGGCGACAGCCTCAGAAAGGCTAAAGAACAACAACACAAGGCGTTTTAATCAGAGCAATTCAATAACAACAAAGCACTATCTTGAAGAAACTAGAGATTGAGACCATAAACTCATGTTTACAATGTTTACTGAGGTAATAAATCAAGTGAGAAGTAGAGTCATTTTCTCATAGACTTCTATACAAACAGACTTATTTTTGCAACCAGAGGAGTTGATGGTCAGTAGAGAGAATTTAAATTTTAAGACTCTTCCGCTTTGGCCTTACTCAACAGAACCGGAGGTTGCCGCCTGCTGCAAACACATGCACAATGGACAGTTTTGTCCATTCATTTGAAACAACAGCTAAACGAGTCACATGTATCTCGGCCAATACTTGTGTTGTTTTTATTTTATTTTATTTTTCTAAAGATAAATAAAGCTTAATCAGGGGGATCAATGAGCAAGAAAACAAACAATGCATCTATCAGTCCACCATAGGCAAGACTTGACCAATTAGATTTCACTATGTACATTCTTAGTCGGGGACTCCCCTATCAACATAAGAACTAAACTTCATACAAAAAGACTCAAATATACATAGTGGAAATCCCTCTCTACTGCAGTTGGTTGAACTCTTCCTTTGATCCTCTTGTGACCCCTCTGATTTGGCGTATGACCCAATAGTGGGTCCCGAGCCCGAGGTTGGGAGACCTGGGAGAACAGCATAGGACAGCAGAACAAACAACACAAAATAGTATTTGTCTGTCAGACGTTCCTTTAAGTCTTTGTGTTTTTTCTTGTGAGTTAGCGAATAATTTCCCCTCTAAAAATGACCGATATTAAACAAAGGAAAGAAAATGACACTGTGGTTGAACTGGTTATAACTAGTGAACGTATGCAACCAGTGAACGTATGCAACCAGTGACAAGGGATCACAAGTTGCTTTGTTTCACGAGTCACAAGCTAAAACGGTTGGGACCCTCTGCAGTTTAACTAAATACTTTAATCTACTGTACACTTAGTTGTTAGGGAAATAGTAAACTGGCAACTTAGTGCATACTGGTCCTTATGCTTGTTACACACTGTATACTTAAAGACAATACGACTGTCACCTTTTTCTCATTGGACGTACAGAAATGTGCTGTATGGTGGGTCAAAATTAAAATATAGATATCAAGAACAGATTCTAACACAGTCTCTCTGGTTGTTTCAGGGTGGATCACTGGAACAATGAAAAAGAGCGCCTCGTCATCATCACAGACAACTCTCTCCTGGTCTTCAAGTACGACTTTGTCATGTTCAACTGTGACCAAATCCAGAGGATCCCACTAAACATTATAGATCGCATCTCCCACGGCCAGTTCAGCTTTCCAAAGAACTCCCTGCTTCAGTAAGTCCTCTCATTAGTCCTTCAGCAGTGACCTTATACCTACTATCCATGAAAAGCTGCAGCTTTAACCTCATTTTTCTTTTAATTTGTGGTGGGAAATGATAACCAGGAAACTCCTGACTCTTTAACTTCATAGAGCCGCATGCATTGTGTGTATAGAGAGAGCCTTGGATCTCTGGTGTCCTGTCTGAAGTGTTTCGTCGCTACACACACTTGGAGAATTACAAATATTAGCCCTGATGATCTGCTCAGTGCTCTTATTTGCTTCAGGAAAGTAAAAATCCCCTTTAGCACACGATAACCATTGAGCTTTAACACCAAACATGCCTAGTTTCCTAGTATGTTATTGTTTCATACCTTTCTTCTCAAGTCATGTGTCACACAATGCTTTCTCAAGCTCTGTGAACATTTTTAGAGGATGTAATGAAGAATGTAACAGGAATGTAACATGCAGCCTTCTTTGGGGGGATTTCAAAGGTTAAAGTATGCATGATTTACTTGAAAGCATGGACAGTGATCGGGGTTGTCAGTGAGAGCAGTGACACCGCGCTGAGGGCGGCATCAGAAGGCCGTGAAGGGGGATTCGTGCAGAGGATCGGCGCCGGGAGGGCAACCGGGGACACGTGGAACGGCCTGAAACAGGCGAGGCAGCGAGACAAGCTGAGAGTTTTTATTTTTTCAGGAGGGGTAAGGAGTGCAAAGCTGTCACTTGGAGCTGTCGCTTAACTGATTAGTGGCAAAATTAATGTAGTCCTTTCATCCAAACCTTTTAAAGACGGCTCAGGGGATACCAAACCAACTAAAACTAATTTGATGAATAAAACGTAATGCGCTGTGAAGAGCTTAGAAGAACGCGGCCTGTATTGGAGGCTTTATCTCTGCACATTACGCTGAATTATACATAAAGCGCTCGTGAAAGCCACCCGGGAGTCCAACAGCAAAGAGACGGATTGGAATGAGAGAGACTCGACCCTCAAACACTTCCCCTCTCTTGTCTTCATCTTCACCACTTCCTCCCTGTCTTCTTCTCTGCCTCTCCCTCAGGAAGTGTCTTCTTTTGTTCGTCTAGGTCATTCCATCTTATTTTTGGCAGAAAATTGATCGACAGTAAAGTTCATGTGTATATGAGAATGAATCCTCCCCACTGCTCTGATGGAACAGGAAATTTTGTTTCCACATCACAAAAATCAATGTGAGAAAAGTAGGAAAAGTCAGGCTTTGAAGATGTTTCGGCTGCTATGTTTAATGTTGCTTTCCTTTTTCGGGTACACTTCATTTTAAGAAGGGATGCACTAATACTGATCAGATATCAGATATCGGGCTGATACTGACTCAAATAGCTGGGAGTGACAGCGGGCTTGATCTATTCAATTCCATTCTGTGTGTATAAACTATAGACATTCTATACTGGTATTATAATTCCTGTTTAGGTTTTGACTGATTTGTCAGTGCATTTAAAAGATTCCCCGATCACAAGTAAGAAGAAAAAAAGATGGTGGTGACCTGAAAAGTACCAGAACCTGTCGCCATGTTGGTTTTTCGCAACCAATGAATGGAGGTTACCTTATTTGGAATGACATAGAGACTCTGTATATCTGTCAATCACAGTAAGCCCGCCCTAAAGCATACCCTGCTTTATGGTCTACTTGACTTAAGACACACTTTCGCATCGGCTTCACTCGGCAGAACCGGAGGTTGCCGCCTAGTGACACCTCTCAGGCACAGTTAGTTATGTGATCCATTTTGATATAATAGTATTGATTGTTGCCCACAAGTGATATTAAGCTTCTCATCTGACTCAGCAAGAAATTGTATAAGCACATATCCCGAAATGTTGAATTTATCCTCTAAGCTGGGCTCTTGGGCTTGAGTTCTGTTGTACAGGATACGTATATGGATGTGGTTCCCTTTGTGTTCAGTGGTCTGATTGACGTTGGAGGTAAAAGACTCAACAGGCCGCACTTTGGACCTTTCAGACCTTTTCACTTTGATGTACCAAAACGCTCAGACAGTAATGGAATTATCCATTTTTTCCCCAAAATAAAATCGCTCGCTGAACGCAAATAAAAGCTCCATATGCTGCTGTAAATAATCAGTACATCCGCACGATTCGGCTGCTCTTTCAGCCGTCGTGGTGATGACGCTTGGCTGCTACTCCTGAGCTGTTACCGAGGTATTATTGTTCTTCAAGTGGGCGAGGAAAGAAGACATCTACAGCTGACAGCTGTCATCTGACCACTCGATGTCAGTGTGCGCCCGTGGTAGAGACGTTTTCCAAGCAGCAGCACGCCACGTCACAGTTCTTCATGTGTCATGGATGACACATGAAGAACTGCTAGTGTGAAATGGTAATATTTCATAAAATAATTCGTTGAGACAGAGCACTTTCATGAACGTTTGACCCCTTTGTGTTCCCAGGCCACCAGCCTGAGAACAAAGAACATCTAACTCCGTCTGTGGAGCATGTTATTTGGCGTCTGTGCTCCATCAGCCTCCCTGAAACGTCCATGATGCCAATAGATACCGTTGAGGGAGCGTCGGTGTTTTTAGTGCTGAAGATCTTTTGTTTTCATCGCGTAATCTCCAGGTGCACCCATGACGAAGAAAGCACAGAATATTCTGCATCTATGGGGAGAGATTGTGTTTAACGTGCCTTCTTTCCAAACTGTCTAGACAAACTAATTACCCAGCACATTATCTGTGTTTTATTATTTTATTCCTGTCTGAAAGAGTTGGGTGTGGAGGTTTAAAGAAGCCCCATTGGATGTTGCTTCAGTAACTGTTGTAGGGAATATATATAAATATATATTTATTGGAAATGGTCCCAGCACTGCTCTTCTCTGTTTATTAGTTTTCTTTTCTCTGTATTAAGGTTTCAGAGGGAATGATGCCTTATTTAGCCCCCGCCTTCAACTTATTAAGAACTGTTTTATTAACTCGAATTCTTTCCTCACATTGCTGACTCAGGTTGGCTTATTATACATTTTTACCGTTGTTTTGATCAATAGGGTGGGGAATCTGTAGTTTGAGGCAGACTTTCCTCCTCTCGTTCTGCACAAACCAAATCAGCTCACACGTGCAGACAGCAGAGGGCAGTCAGTACATAGTAGATATCATTCGTCAGCATTATGCACCTCATCAGAAGATGATTTAATCAGAGCCACTGTGAAACGCTGACATGTGAAGCAAAATAAGAGGGATGCACACACACCACCAGTTCTCCTTAAATGAGGACTCCTCATCCAGATCAAACTACACACACAGTGTTCTGGTGAGGAGTCGGTGAGGATAAACTTTTAGGGGTCACCCTTGAGGGGTGACGTCGCCGGATCAATCACATCAGTAGATGCGTCTCAAAAATAGGAAGAGGAGTGTCTGTCCTACGTCTGACTCCACGTTTGAGCTCACAGGTTGTACAAACCGTGGTACTGGCTCGTCTGCATTACTGCTCGATAATCTGCTGCAAAAAAAAGCATTAATAAGATTCCGAAGGCAAAGTCCCGCCCCTTCCGTTAGATCTATATATATATATATACTGATAGATGAGGAACTTTTAGCTGAAAATAAAAGTTAAGCTTATTTGACGATTAGGCAGCTTCTTCATCATCAGCACCGAGGATGAAGTTTCACACTCCCTGCTTCCTTGAATGACTTGATTCAGTGAAATTCACCTCAACTGCACTTTCATAAATAGGACGTCCATGGCATAAATTGCACAAAAAAAATGCAAATACACACATTAGAATTTTCACCAACAGGCGTATAATGTTTTTTGGGCTCGCTGCTCTAAATTCAAACACCTTGGAGTGTTTTTTCAGCTCGTGGACTCTGCTGTTCGGGGTGGAAACGTGTTTGCCAACAGCCCGCAGCTATGATATCACAGCTTTTTGCATCATGACATCCGCAGCAACGTGGCTGTGTGTTTTAGGCTTCGGAGCGTTGCACGAGCAGCTTCATCATGAATAATGTAAATGTCTTTTCAAGGGCCGAATATTGTAGGGACGTTGTGTATAACAAGTGAGCTTCTCTTTGTTTGTTTTCTAGTCATCAGTCCACCCCCTTGTTTCTCCCTCTGTAGTCCTTTCACATGTTGGATGGATACGCGTATGGATGGCTGACAAACCATGCAGGCTCCACTGAGCGATCGGACCCCATTTATTCGCTCTGAGACGGTGTGGGACAACTGGAGCTGGGTTTGATGTTTACATCTTGTGTGTTGATTTATGAGTCCCAAGCGCTTGAAAAATCCCAGGGAGGAATCTCTCGTCACTTGCCCTTAAGCTCAGAACACAGCGTTGCTCTCATGCGCGTGTGCGTTTCGTGTGAACAGTATGGATTGAGTGGGAGGTTAGTAGGAGGTGCTTTTCCTCAGTTTGACCCTCTTTCTTGAGGTGTTTGTAAGTCCGTTTTTTTGGCAATTTCTTTTCGATATGAACCTCGTCTCCTTGACAAACTCACGAATGACGTAACGAAGTCTGCTTCCACCCTGTCTGTGTTTCGCCAAAGCGTTTTAATGTTCCCATTTATACTTTAATGTTTTAATAGTTTTCTCCCTGTACAACATTTGCTCTGGAAGAGGCACAGCATGTTTGGCAGCAGTAGTCATTTGGAAAGTACTTGTGTAAACAGGGCTAGGAGATTAACAGCTACACCACTATTGTTTAGCCTCAAGTGTTTCATTCTGTTGACAGGAAGTGCTCTCGTTCAAAGTATGTGGTCAAAAGGTGTGACGGATCATTAAAGAAATCACAACACCGTTGGGGAAATCGGCTGCACGCTGATTTATTTATCTTCCGTCTTACTTTTGGATGCAAACCAGCGGGTTCATTATAGGTAAGACTTTGCAGAGGAACACTTTTCTATCCCACAGTGAAAGCTGTTCAGATCAGATTCACAAAAACACCAAAACATTCTGCTTGATTGCCGTAACAAGCTTCCCTTGATGAGCCCTGTTTGCACAATTCTTATACAGCTTTTAAGAGGTTACAAAGGCACACACATTCGTGGGTTTGGTGTCAGACCTACACAAATATAATATGTTTTAGTGTTTCAGTGAGCATGCAGCCGGCAAATGACTCGCATTACATAACACATGGCGCAAATGTTTTAACAATAGCACAATGTCGAAATGATTTGTTATCCAATTATCTGACAACTGCTTTCTTCATTAATCAATTCATCTTTTGGTCTCTATAATATCAGAAAATAGTGAAAGTGCACCCAAGGTGACCAAGCCAGCAATTCAACTTTGATTTATCCCAAAAGTTATAGTAAAGTAACTTATTGGGATAATAAAGTACAAACCTAACTTTTACTAAATAATATACAATAAATATGCTCCTTAAAACACACACACACACACACACACACACACACACACACACTAATGCTATGTTCACACTACTAGGGACAAAAGCAAGCGCTGCCAGATACATTGTCGCAGAATGTTGCTCAAGCGCTCGTTGGCGTAGTTTTGTCGTTAAATTTCACCGGGAACGGAACAGATTCAAACAAAAACATACGCTTCATTGTAGCGTAGGAAAAAAGAAGACCAGCTCAACTTAAGACCCTCTCTGATGGAGTCAGCATGTTGGATGCGTTTCCATTTACACACCCTACAAACTTGCACCCGCCTTCTTCTCACACGAGAAAATGATTCCGCTAATGTCGGGCGCTTTTTATCAGGGGGTTTCAGGGGCTGCCGCCATCTTGTGCATGCAGTGCCACACACTTCTCCTACTCAGCTGCCGGAATAGTTTAGTTGTGCTGCTGTTTTTAGTTGCCACAGACTTTAAACAAACTTTACAGCAGTTTGCTCGAGGTCGGACAATAAAGAAAACTCTTGCGGCGCTATAAACTATGGGAGCTCAGGGAAGGGGCTGTGCTGTTCTGTGCTACTTTAAGATAAAGCAAAAATCATCATACTTTTCAAACACATTGTCAAAAATCGATTTATCGCACAGCTCTAACTGGCTGTAAAAAGAGATGCAGAGGAGGGTGTCTTGAACTCACTATGACCTTGAACCTTTTGAACAGTAACAAAGATACTGTATTGCCCACAGTTATTACAGTCTGAGGGATGTGAGAGCCAGAGATCATATTTGATGGACAAACGGTAGATAGAGAATCTTTACAGCATGTAGATGAACGCCAACATCATTTCAAAGATGGGATCTGGGAGTGTTGGGAGGTCTTTGCTTTGCTCTCAGTCTTCTGAGGTTTCATTAGGCTGAGGGAAGATGTGCCCCCGGGGCATTTTCATGAAAGCCTGCGGTATTTACTTTAATATGAGGAACACGCTGTAGATTACCTCGAGGACTGGTAGACATGACACTGCACTCACATTCAGTATTGGCCCTGAGGACAGATTAGTGTCATTGTTCTCCATTGTTCCTACATTGTTACCATGGAACCAACAGGTCCGGTGGTCCGCCTTTTGGGGGAAGTAATGTGAAGCAAACACAATGTTAACAGTTACCAGGTTGCCATTGGAAACCATTTTCTGACCAATTCTCGGCCTTTGGTTGCCATTAGCAATATGTCAACCGTTCATGTCAATCAGATAGGCAGGTGTCACTTAGCCCCTGCTATCAGTGTGTGAATGGGTGAATGATGACAAGTAGTGTGAAAGCGCTGTGAGTGGTCGGAAAGACTAGAAAAGCGCTTTACAAGGACAGTCCATTTACCATTTATATTTTGTATTACTCAAAATATAAGGTGTCTATAAATGGCAACTGTATTTTCGGTTTCGGCACCCAAAAGCTGATGTCCCTTTTTTATTTGTGCACCCAGTTACTGTAAAGTACAGAAAAGCACAGAGCAGTAAGAAACAGGGAAGTTGAAATGTTTTAGTTTTTATCTTTGTAGTACCTTTTATTTTTTCTTCTGTTTAATTTTGCCTCCAAAAGTCATTATTATGGATCATACGCAATACCTGAAAATGCCAAATCCAAGGGGCAAAGGCGGTATGTGTTCTTTCAGCATTCTATTCTTGTTTTGTCTTGGTTATTACGTTCATTATTCATTCATTAAGTTAGGGATTGTGTATATTTCTGTGTCTCTGTCCATCTACAATTATTATTGGAATGACTGCTCGCCCGACACATCGCTGCGCTCCGGCGTCCAGTGTGAACCCGGCTTCACTAGGAAGGAATCTGATGTTATTTTTCACCTTTTTGAGTCATATGTGTCACTGACAGAGAGAGACTCTTTGACCTTTGTGTTCCACTGTGTGTTGATGTGTCCAGGAGGGAGGGGGAGGGGCTGCGAGTCTTCTGGGACCGGCTGAGGGAGCCCTCCTTTGCCTCCAGGTGGAACCCCTTCGCCACTGACCTCCCCTGCATCACCCTCACCGACCACCCTGTGAGGAGCATCAGCGACACGTTCGCTTCCCTCTGCGACGTGAGTTGATCAGTCGATGGGAACAGTATGGAATTGTTGAAAGGCTCAGTTCACCAAAATCACAGAAGTTTCCAACTTACCACTATTGGTGTGGAGCCATGCAAATTGTTGTGACTTTATGTGCTGGAAATTCATTTGTGGTGCTCGAAGCATTTAAAAAAAACAACAAAACATCTGAAAAATGTATCTTTAGGACCAATATCCTGGTTTCTATTTCCAGTGAAAGTTTGAGAGTCACATATTTCAAAACATCTCACATCACAGATACAACTGAAACTATGGACCGGCTGCAGGACTCTGTATCACTATGAGACAGTTTGTAATTTAGGGTGAGAGGACACTTGAAAGGAGACGCTTAACTATTATCACTTGAGCAAAACAACAGCGTGGTGAGATTCATCATGTGGTCGAATGAGTCATCACACAGACACATCATAGACTGTCTAGAAGAAGTGGACGTAGTCATCGTGACGTCACCCGCTGGTTTTGTTCACTACGGTTTTGAAGAGTTTGGCATTTGGACTGTCGCCATCTTGGTTTTGGACCGTCGTCATCTTGGTGCTAAACGCTGAATGAGACATTTTTAGGTGACAAAAAAAGGTTACAATTAACTTTCATGAAGTGAAAACACAGTGAAAGGGTTAAAGTTGTAAGATGAAAACACGGTCAAGTCCCAGACCGGACAATGTCGTAGTAGCGACCTGTCAATCACAAGGTATCCCCGCCCTAAAGCATACCCTGCTTTATGGTCTATTTGACTCTAAATGGACCATAGTTTACTAAATGAACAATGATCCCTGTTAGTGACTCACATGTAGTGAAACAATTCCTCCTGAAATCCTCTGTCACAATTCTGCCCTCCATCACACACGAATCTAATTCTGCTCTTAGAAAGCTGTGCTCTTAAACATTGACTTGCAGGCTGAGCACTCAATTTAGTTTTGTGTCTCTCTCAAATGTTTTGGCATCAATACACTTCCCTAAGTTACTTTGAAACAAAGTTAATGATCTAATGCAATTAGTGCTTGACACGATCGCTTATGTTGTGCATGACAAAAAAAAGAGCTGTCAGTTTACTTTGGGTACGCGTTGGATAGGCGTTTTAGGCAAATTTTACAGGAGTGATAAGAGGTTCTCCCTCTGAATAAGGCTTTTGTGACCTCATGTACACCACATCCTGACCAAGGCGAGAGAGCTGCAAACAGGAAATAAATATGTTATATTCCTGATCCTCCCACCCTCTTGTCAACATCCACAGATCCAGAACTTTCAAGAGCGGCTCAAGGAGGCGGCGCAGAAAGCACACGCCATGAAGCCGTTTCCCGGGAAGGCCAACGGCGTCCTGGTCCTGAAGCAGCAGATCCACATCGAGGCCTACGTGGGCCTCATGTCTTTCCTCGGGAACCAGAACAAACTGGGATACTGCATGGCTCGAGGAAACCTCGGCTTCTAACATCTTCTGCTTTTCATATAATAGTTTTGTTGTCGTTCAAATAGTTGAAAAAGATTATTATGCCTTGAATTCATATTTGTACATTCGTTCAGTCAAATTGTTTCAGGATTGACCAAAGACGTTTCCATATTCGGGTTTGCTTTAGTGTCGCGTTGAAGCCTGGATTCTCAGGATGTTCTGTGTGAGGTTTAAACAACTGTGTGATCTCCCCCTTCTGCTTATTACCAGTGTGAAACATCCGCATTTCAACACCGCTCCACACTGGATGACGGATCCCCGCGCTGCTCTCAGGGAGCTTTGTATTTGCTCCTCAGTGGTATGGTAATTCAACTGTGTTTGCAATGGGACTCCTTTCTTCCTCCCCCGGTGTGTCTGTTAAAAAGCTCATTCCTATGCCGTTCAGCCCCTCAGAGATTCACCGGAGCAAGGGGGCCCATTTGTCACTTTATAGTTTCATCATCCGCTGTGTATTTTTTACAGTGCATACAGTGTCAGAGTTTCCCCTTGATTTGTGTGTTTTCTGTATGTCGCTGCACCTGGTTTGGTGTCACAGTACGCATCTTGTTCTCTTTTCCTTTGTGGTGGTATAAAATATGCAGATTTTAACTTGTAATCCTATTACTGTAACTCATTAATAAATATTGCTTTACTTCCCAAGATCAAACAGTGATCCTGATGTAGTGATTCAATTTGTGTCATTGACAAGTGTTCGTACAATTATAATTAGCTGCTGGGTTAGAAGTCTCTTTCCCAATGCAAGTCTGTGGGAAAAAGTCTTTTTCAGACCCCATGACATCACGAGATGGACCCGGTAATTGAAATTCCACCGTTTGACCACGATGCCAAATTTGCTTCAAATCCCTGCCCTCTTCCTGGAGGCTTGAAGTAGTCAGGTTTATTACTACAAATGGCCTCTTTTACATTACAGTCATTTCATTTTTTATTTTTATTTTTATATTAGTGCTGCTTTAAGTTAGTGATAAAAAGGTCATTTGATTTTACCATATAACAGCATGAGGTTTTACAGTGTAGTGAAGCATGAGAGTGACATTAAGCTTTAGAAATGAAGAGTTCTAGGCCTATTGGCAATTCTACAACGCAGACAGTCGAATGACATTGATGACAATATGCAATATTGATTAGTAAACTACTTTAACTACAGTAAAGTAGTGTAGTCTGAGGGTGTGTTGCATTTTGTTTATGAATCCGAGTGATTAAACTGTCTTTTCGTCTACACTCACAACACAGTACAGAATGTATCGGCCATATCCTGTAACAGTTCTGGGCTGAACAGAGACTCAAACACAGAAAAGGAAATCTTAACCGAAGAGCCAGGCAGGTATACACGGAAGATCAGTCCAAATATCCAAAATCTGTCACGGGGTCGTGTGGTGGACCCAAACGCAGACATGACCAGATTGCAGAGTGAAAACAGGTTTTAATGAAACATGAACACAAAGGAAACTTAACAGGGAATCCAAGGGCGTGAGGCTGAGGCAGGCAGGCACCCATATCATTGTGTTAAATCAACAAAAGTAATAAAAAAAACTCCCAAACTTTTGCCTTGAGCTCATTTGAATAAAAATGAGACTTGAGTTCACCATGATTCCTCTCGTTACTTTGTCCAAATGAAAGTAAAAAAAAATTGTTTTATATCATCTGTTACAAAAACACCCTGCATCAAATATGTGAATATATTTTCCAGTATGAAACATTTTAACCGATACAAATACTGTGACACCTGCAGAGGATTGAGTGTCTAAGAAGCTTCATGTTAACCCAACATCACTGAGGGTGAAGGATCTAACAGAACACTGGATCACGTTACATTTAGTCCATTTTATTGAACTTAACACCAAACCAAAGTGAGTATGAAGGTAGTGCAGAGGATGCACACAGCGACGGCTTCACAGGTGAGTTGGGGATGCTCCTCGTCCTCTTGACTGGAGCTGTCGTCTTCTCCTGAGTGATGATGCACTGGTTTGGGGTCTGGAAGCAGGTTTGGTGCAGAAGTGTGTTCAGCAGACTGCTGTGGTGCTGCAGCTTCCTGAGATGTTTGGCTGGTTGACATCGACCCTCAGGTGTCAGGAAAAGACACAGGAAGAGTCCTGCCCTGGAAGCAATGAATATTTATTATGGATATGACTAAATACTGTAGCTAATACCATGTTGATGATGTGTTGATAACAATAAATACCTTCTGATGTACAGGATGTAATGTTAACTTTAGCTCATCACAACTTGATGACAGTATTTGTAGTGTAAATACCTTCTCTGCTGTTGAGCTCGTCCTCCTCGTCCTCTTGACTGCTGGGGGAGGTAAGGTGTCGGTGGGGCTGGTGGTTTAGGGATCCGTCCCTTCTGATGGGGTCTGGTAGAAGGCTTGGGGCTCAAAGGTGGATTGTCGTGGTGCTGCAGCTTCCTGTTGATGATCGGTTGGTTGACATCCTGTCCTGACATCAGAAACAAGTGGCAGATCATGTAATGTTGAATGCAGCTTAATGAAGGGCTCACTCACTTTGTTGACTGAAACACCACACGATCTCCATCTTGTCCTGTCTTCATTCGTCTGGTCTGGTCGGGCGTGAGCGTTTCTTCTTCGTCCTCATGGAAACTCTGGATGTCCTGCGGGAACGTTGAGTCTCGGTCTTCCACGTTGTCGAGAAACACAACAAATAATGAATAAATGTAAAAAAAAAAGACATTCAAGACTTGATGTTATCCATGATTTCCCTACCTGTGTCTCAAGTCGTCACCTCGGTAAAAAAAAAAAAATATGCTTCGTTTGTTTGTTTCTTACATGAATGAATGGCTGAGACTTGTATTTAAGAGTATATCGTTTGCATCTTTCAATAAATATTGATATGTTCTTGATCACTTTGTGTCTATTTGCATTTTCTGTTGAACAATTATTGGTTTTGAGGCAGTGATGGCCTTTCAATGTCATTTATAAATGCTTTGTAAGGCATAAATAGTCCTCACTTTAAATGAGGTCACACAAAATACTTTACTAACATCTAGTAACTACCTTAATTAATCATGAATTAATCGTGAATTAATCATGAATTAATCGTGAATTGCAGTATTAATACGCGTTTATAAAGCATATATTACATTATATATATATATATATATATATATATATATATATATATATATAT